GACTTGATAGCTGGGTGAGGTACTAGTGGTTTAACAGAGGCGCATGGTTTGTTATACTTGTACGGTTTGCTTGCAGTTTGGCAAATTGGGGTATTAGCGGACAAGAAAGCAGGTTTTGTTGTTGTGTCCCTCTTGCCCTACCGTACCCAATGTATTTAGCCATGTTCTGGGGATGAGAGGTTCATGACGTCCCCCAAACTTTCGAGAAATGCCGACGACAGACCCTTCACTCCCAATAGTTGGATAGACCTGACAGTCAGGAAAGTGACATGATTTGTGGAAGAGAGAACCCATGTTGGGGTAAGTAACAGTAGAAGGTTGACCCAACACCGCCTTATGGCATCCTCACACTAGCACGTATCTTTGCAAATTTTATGTGTTTGCAGCCCGTCAGGGGTGTGTTTTATCCCCCTGAGACTTTCAACGTCATTGACATTTCAACGGCGGTGGTCGTTGGGGAGGKTGGGCATTTTGAGATTCTGGGGCCTTGCAAGGGGKGGGACCGCGTAGGACCGGTATCTGCCCGTGGAAGGCCAAGGAGACCACAGCTTGAGTTTTGAACGTTTCAATAAAACACTTCTATTGAGCACTTCTAATAGAACACGTACACGTTGTTTCAAAAAGAAAAACCTCTTGTATTCCAATAACATGACTTTTTTTTTTTTTTTTTTGGAGGTTAGTGCCTGCCCTTGTGCTCCTGCCCATTGACATGCTGCAGGACTCTCTCTCTCTCTCTCACACACACACACATGAACTCTCTCTCTCTCTCTCACACACACACACACATACACACACACGCACACACACATACACACACACACACGCACACACACATACAGACACACACGACATCTTTCTCTTTGATTGGTGCTCGCCATCCAAAACCAACTCCGACAAAGAGCTCGACTCGGGGAGTTCAAATTGCGCCTCATGTTGAGAACCTAAACGTCAAGGGCGTGGAGCCAAACGGGCGTGAGAGCCATTCTTTTCCTAAGTCTCATTTGCTCTACCCAACCAAATGCCATACCGTAGAGGGGTGGCGTGGTCGTTGGGATGAACCAAGGTTGCTCGCAATAAGTTGAGCGACACTGTCCAAAGGGAGGGGTCGGGCGGGGTACCGGGTGGAATCCGCATCCACCACGGGGCGAGTGACACCGCCCTGCCGGATCATTACAACCGTTCTGGTGTCGGGTGGGGAGGTATCCTCTACGGCTTAATGTGGCCATTCCTCTTTGGCTGCTGTCTAGTCCACCCCACCGCACCTTTCACATGCCCCCTCATTCGACATGCAGGGCCTCGATTCATAAGCCTGCCTCCCACATCTCAGAGATATGTACTTTCACTCAGAACAAGGTCAGGTACTTCGGTGTGAATGCATTAAAAGGCTAAG